GGAGTTTGGTGGTGACTGCAGACAAGAGGCAGCCCTGTGCTGCTTGACCTCACCAACCAGGAGGGCATGGCATCCAAACAGGAAGCTGCTCTCCCCCAGGACCCGCCCCCTGCATGCCTCCACCCCTCCACAATGACTCACCCTGGCTGGAAACAAACTGGGTGAGCATCAGGGAGGAGGCGCTGTGCCCAGCCTCCTGGGCACACTCCTCCGTGGGCTGCTCCGGAGAGCCTGTGGGGTAGAAAGGGAGAAGCTGCATGTCAGAAAATCAGGGCAAGCACAAGTTAAGGTCAGGGAGGAAGGGTAGGAGCACCGATATCTAAACCAGGGGACTCGACAATCCATAAAGCATGGGCTTTCTGGGACACTTGGGTTCGGCGGTGACATACGATCCTTTGCTTTTGGAACGCAGACACTTTAATATGCTGATATGAGTTGCAAAACTCCATAATGACCACGTAGAATAGAGTGTTCTGAACGTTTCTACCCTGGAACTCTTTTTGGCCCTGTCTATTAGAACGCTGGGCAATTTCAAGCCCATCCAGTGGCCGAGTTGAGCCAAGGAGAGAAAGCTGAGAACAGTGAAAAGAACTGGACTTGGAATCAGAAGCTGAGGCTAAATCCTGGGCCCAACATTCAGTAGCGATGTGACCACCTTGGATGAGTCACTTAACGTCCCTGAGTTTTTCTAATCTGGAAAATAGAGGCAAAAATAGCCACCTCACAGTGTTGTAAGGTTTAAAAAGGTGCAAGCTGAGAAATTGGGAGGCACCGAGTAGGCACTCGACTCCTTTTAAGGGTGGGAAGGACACAGGCATGGCCCTCAGATGGGGGGAGAGGGGAAGGTCTGCTCTATGGGGCACTGGGCAGTAGTGGCTGATGCTGGGGCCGGGGAGGGAGGCTTTCTGGGAGAGAGGCAGCCAAGAAATGGCCACAAACCTTAGAGCAGGCCGTCCGAGGCCCCAGTCCCTGCCCTCCCACCCTCGACCCCTGGCTTCTTTCCTACCTGCTTTCTCCCTGGCCCTCCCAGCACCCGCCATGCGACCACAGGCCACACACAGCCGGTGGCTGCAGCGGGGGCAACTCCAGTGGGTGTTGAAGAGTCCATGGTGGCAGCGGCTGCAGCAACCTGGAACGCCTGGGTTGTCCTCTGTCCTAGCCGGCCCCTGGCCTGCTGACCATGGGAGAGAATAGGGTCAGAGAGGGCTCACGCACAGGACCCTTTGGGGGTCCTCATGTGGCAGACCTGCCTGGAGGAGAAGCGGGAGCAGTTTCCAGCAAGGGGCTGCCCCAGAAGGGAAACAAGCCCCTCACAGATGCCCCGCTTACTCGACAGCCCCTGTACAGAACCTCCCCGAAGCCGCACTGTCACCAGCAAACCCTCCCAGGGATGGTGCAGGCCCCATCTCCCCAGTTCCTGCCCCACGGATTTTCCCATTGGCCCTGAATTACCAACCCACACCACTTCCAACACACTTCTTCACCCGCCCCTCTCCCTCCCTCCCAAGCTGGCTTTCTGCAGGGGACTCAGCACCGAAGAGGACATTTTAAGAGGCCATGCCTTCCCTCACCCAGAGTTTCAGACTAGGCCCCCACTGATAGGTACAAGGACGCCAGTAAGAAAATGTTCACTTATTCATTCAACAAACACCTTGTCCCGTCCCGGGCTAGGGACTGGGATCCAGAGCTAGTCAGGACTTGGCTCTCGCCCTCCCAGTGCTCACATTCCAAGGGGAGATGGACCCATAAACATGGCAACGATGAAGGCCCCACAGAGTGGGTGCTGGGGTGTGAGAATGCGATGGAGGCCGAGGGTGGGGATGGTGGGGGCAGGCTCACAGATGGGCCTGAGTGATGAGTAAGTTTTCATTCACCAGGTGGGAGGGGAGGAGAAGGGCCTTCCAGACAGAAGCAGCAGAAAGTGCCAAGGCCAGAAGGGGTGGACAAGCCGGGAAGGACGCGCAGGCCTGCGGGTGATTCGGGGTGCCGGGAATTCGGGTTCAGGGAGTGGCAGGGGCTGATGAAAGGGGGTAGGGGCTGGACTTTCTGGGGCAAGAGGAAGCTGCCAATGGGCCTCCACCAGAAGTGATGGACCACAGGGGTGTTCTCCCAAACACACTGCTCTCGAGGCGCCATGAAATGATGCAGGAGGGAGAGCCTGGAGGCAGAGGGACTCCACAGCCTCAAACATCAGCCCCAATCCTACCAGCCTCCTAGGGCCCGGGAGCCTCGCCACCCAGGGAGCCTTCCTCATGCGCCACCCGCAGGGAGCTCCCCACCTTCAAGTGCTCTTACAGACACTTGGCACTCAGTCTTGTTTCCCCAACAAGCCCGGAGCTCTTAGACAGTGGGCTGGGCCAGGTTTTATACCTTCCCGACATCCGCCTCCCAGGTCAGAAACTTCAGAAAACACGGTGACTAAGAGCCTTAGCCGGGAATAAGGGCAAGGCGGGCAGGCGTCCTCCTGAACGGGAGGACAGGGCAGTGCTGGTGGGAAGGAGGGGTTCACGCTCGGAGTCCCCATGCTCCTGGTGAAAGCACCAGGCTCTCCTGGGTTCCCCAGTGCCCTGTGGGTGCTGCTCACCTTCCCGCTGTGCCCAGGCCAGGGCCTCCCGCTCCCTCCGCAGCAGGCGGCACAGTCGGTCCCCCAAACCACTCAGAAGGTGTTTGGCGAGGCCCACGCTGGGCCCGGCCTTCGGACCAGAGCCTCCTCCCTCCTCGGAGCTGGCTGCCGAGTCTTCCTCCTGCTGCTCCCCTCCCAGAGACGATCTGGAGACAGGGCAGAGGAAGGTGAGGAGGGAGCCCCGAGTGGGAGGACGTGGGGACATCCAGGGGCAAGGGCTCACCTGGGCACTTGCTGGGAGTGGCAGGCCAGCCCTCCCACCTCGCCCGCTGCCTGGGCACAGCTTTGGCACTGAGCAATGCCTGCCGGGGGAGCTGAGCAAGGTGCATCCTGACGCCCTGGGTCCTGGAGGCCGGCCCTGCCATCTCGGGGTCCTGAGAGGACAATGCAGCTGGTCAGGGGTCTGGGCCTCCCTGGGCTTGTGCGAACCCCAGATCCTGCCTTAGCCCCCAGGTGTCCACACGCAGAACCAGCCCAGTCTTTAGGCCCAGGCCCCCGAGGCCTGACTTGGAACCAGTGAGAGTGGACCAGGCAGCTAGAAGCTTCACAAAAAAGGCCGCGAGAGGAGCTTGACGATGCCCTGACATGACTGATGGGACTGAGAGGAGGGTCAGGTGCGTTGAGCCCAAGGCCGGGGCAGCTCAGGTGATGGTCCTGACCCAAGGGCAGGATCCAGCCAGTGTAGACTTTGGATAGCTCCACCGTGAGCTTAGCAGTGCCGCTGGCTGGGTGACAGTGTGAGGAGACAATCCCGACGTGGACGGACGGAGAGCGCCGGAAGGTGAGAAGGCCGGAGAGTTTCAACACAGACCACAGGTGCAGTAACCCAAGAAGGCCAAGAGGTCAACGGCTTCCCAGCCCAGGCGCAGGCCTACGAGAGTGTGGACAGACCCGCACCAGGTGCAGGGTGCTCGGGCACGGCCATTGAGAGAGTCCGCATCCAGGCCCAGCAGTTCAGGAGGCCAAGAACCCGAGGTGATCCCGGGGACCTGAGGCTGGGGCTGCCAGCGCCCGAGTGTTTCTCTGTGAAGGGCACAGCGTGACAGAGGGGTCCAGGATGTGCCCAGAGCATCAACACGGGCAGAGTCCAAACGGAGTTTCCGTGATCCAGCTGGCTAGCAGAGTTGTTTGTTCCTGAGGCAGGACAAGGGGTCCCTCGGGAGAGGCAGTCCTCCAGACAGGGATTGTGGCACAGACCATCATGAAGGCGAACATTTATTGGGTGCTAAGTGCCAGTTCTTCAAAGCCTTCTCTGTGAATTATATCATTTAATCTTTGCAGGAGTCTTTATGAGGTAGGTGTCATCTTTATCCCCATTTTATAAATGCAGAAACTGAGGCGCAGAGAGGTGAAGCAGCTAGCTCAAGGTCATGCAGCTACCAGTCAGCAAAGTCAGGACCCAGGCACTCTGACTCCAGAGCCCAAGCTCTGAACCATGTCATTACACGGCCACCAACACACCAGGGCTTGGGAGGAGGCAGACAGAAATAGAAGCCACTTGCTTGAAGGCCCGGGCCTGTAGATGCGGAGGCACTCGCCACAGATGCTGGTCCGACCCACTCGTAAAGGACCTCTGACCCCACCTCCTTGCAAAGCTCCCGTCTTGCTGCCCCCTCCCAAGCAGGGCCCACACGGGTCCTCCCCTGCCCCTTACCTCTGCGGTCAGCACGCTGTTCTGCCTCCGCCTTGTTCCCCGGTGATGAGTCCAGGACGTCCTGCCCTGCACTGCCTGGGAAAGGGTCAGGGGGGCGCTTGGCGGCTGGGCTGCCGGCCACTCCCTGGACCTCAGGGCTACTTGCCCTCTTGAGGGCCTGAAGCGGGGCAGCTGGGCTCTCCTCGTCCCCAGGGCAGCCTCCCGGGCACCCGAACTGCTCAGAGTGTCTCGTGAGCCACGTCTTCTTCAGCTTGGTGTGGTGGTTGGGCAGGCAGGCCCTGGGACCGGAGGCCTTGTTTGCTTCCTCGATGGACTCACCGGACCCCCTGGCACCCCCCTCCAGGCCCTCCTGGCACTTCCCACAAGGGCCAAGGCCTCCATCTCCAGCAGGTGGGTGGGATGAGTAACAGCCCACCTGGGTGGTGGGAGGCCCAGGAGAGGGGCACCTTGATGTGGTTGATGGCCTTAGCTGGTACCCAAGGCCCCCACCGCCCGGGACAGTCCAGACGTTGCCAAGAGTATGAACAAGGCCTGGGGGACAAGTGGGCCAGGGGGTCCGGGGAACAGTGTCTGGATGCCCCAGGAGAAGTGGGCAGAGATTCTGATGCCTGCCGAGGCCTGTCTCTCCATCCCTCGGGTGGAGCGAAGGGCACTCTGCCTCCCCGCTTCTCTGGAGCGGCCCGCCAGGGGCTAAGCCCAACAACCCAGGGTCCACCGTTGCCAACGGCTCCTTCGCCAGCCTGAGAATACTCGGATCCTTATGGTAAAAACCCTGAAGAGAGGAGAAAGGATTAAGCCGGTGAGAAAGGATTAAGTGGGTGCTGACTTGGGTTCCCAGTGCTTAAAAAGAAACGAACAAACTGAAGACCAGTAGGTATGTGCCTGTTTGGCCTTACGGGTTGTGAAAACACTAAAGAACTCATATCTCACGTACTGGTTAATAGGCACTGCTCCTCCTACGTGCCACCCCACTGCCCTGGCCACCCCAGGTCATCCCCTGGGATTTCTCAGGCCTCCCCGCAGCCCAGCAACTAAAGGGCTAATGTCTGGCACAGCCAAAGGGCCACCAGGACCGCTCCAGATGATCTGCTGCCCTGTACCATACCGGTTTTAAATAGCCCAGATCTCATCCCTGGGCATGGGGGTTGCCTGTGGGGGAGGTGTCCTAGACACAGGCCTTGGGACTGCCTGCACATCTTCCCAGATAGAGGGCTTTGTCTGCCCCCTTTCCCGGAACAAGACACACATTCTGAGGCCCCAACTCCCAGGGCCTTGTTCTGAGTGGACAATGGATGAGTCAGTCCCTGAAACGGCCCGAAGGCAGGAAAGGCCTAGTGGGATGGAGGTGCTCAGAAGAGGAACTGCTTGGCCTTGACTTTGTCTGAGCTCACAGGCTCCTCTATTTGGGTGCTGCCTTATTTTTTCATCAGGATGGAAGGGCAGTGTGGTGTGGCCCTGACAGGGCTGCTTGAGGACCACTGAGCTACCTTGCATGGCCTGCTACAACACTCACCTTGCTGCCTAAGCTGAAAGCAGAGGGCACTTTGGGCTGGCCCCCGGAGTACACCCAGGGGTGCGGGGCCAGGGGCCAGTCACATGGACGCTCTGGAGGCAGGCTGGACACTAGGTAGGGTGGTAAGCAGGTGGGCACCCAGAAGGGAGCTCGCTCCAAGATCTTGGTCTCCAGCAGGAAGGGGCAGTGCAAGGGCCGGAAGGCCACAGGGTCACTTTTTGGATGGCCACTGCTATGCTCAGGAATCAGGGGGCCATAGCGAGGCGGGCATGCTGACCCATATAATGCCAATGGATGGGTGAGCATCGCCTCTTTCCAGCGCAGCCCCTCCTTGCCGCTCAACCAGCTGGCCTTCCTCTCCCCATTCCGGGGGCCTTCACCCTCCACCAGTGGGAGCGTGTCCTTGGGGCCCTGAGGGAAGCCAGGGGGAAGCCAGGAGTTTGGGGTGCTCAGGACACCCCTCCAGAAGGGAGCAGGCTCTCCCAGGCACAGTGCCCCGTGGCGCAGGCCGTCTCGTGGCAGGGCATTCGGCTCTCGTCCCATGATGCCATTCTCAGGGGCAGTCTTCTCCCAGGCTGGGGTGTCCTTCAGGAAGCTGGGCGTACTCTCCATCACTCTCCTGCCCTCATGGGGCTCTCCCAGAGGGGGTCCCTAGGGCATAACCACCAAAATATGAGCTTCTTAGGCACTCTGCCCCAAGCACAGAGTGGGTACCGCCCTGGCAACACCAAGGCGGCTCAAACCAGTAAGGCAAGTGCCAACCCACAGCTGGGATCCACGCTGCCTGCCCACATGCGGCTTGAGGACCCGCCTGGGTGGGATGCAGCTGTGTAAAGGGCCATCCCTACCCCCAAACACCTGGGATTTGACAGCCCTCCTGGGCCAGAGCCCCTCAGTAGAGACTGCTGTGTCTCACAGAGCCTGGAACCTCGGCACAGGCCATGGGGAAGGATGGGGACAAGAACCCAGAGGATGAGCTGGGTGGAAATCGCTGTACTGGGGACAAGAGGACTGGATCTGGGCCCTGCCTCCGCCACTGCTGTGTCACTTTGGGCAAGTCTCGCCACTCCTCTGGACCTCAGGTGCCATTGTATAAAACAGGGCTTGGAGAGTGGCGGTCCCAGAGGCCTCTTCCCAAATTGCAGCCTGTGTTTCTGGGGGTGCTGCTTGCCCACCCCCCACCGCTCAGCTCCACCCAGGCTTATAGGGGTGGGACGTGCAGGCTGGAGTCACTGGGGAGAGCCTCCAGGCAGGGCTGGCTGGTACTGCTTCCCACACCTGGGCAGCCGTCTCTGCCTCTTCCCAGTGCTCTACAGTTTCTTGGCTTCCGAATAAGTCCCAGGACGCCTGCTGAGTATGGGGATCTCCACCGTGCCCCCAAGGGAAGGAGTGGGCCAGCACAGGAGAGGAGGATTAGAGACCTCAGCTGGGATGGGTAAAGCTACCCCACTCCAGTTGGCAGTGCCAGAGCCACCAGCGGCCACAGTAACCGTAGCCTGGTGGGGGGAGGGAAGGAGGCGGGGAAAGCGGGCTGCACCCCAGACAGAGGCAAAGGAGGGAAAATTGAATGAGGGTGAGAAGGACCAGAATGACAGGTGGTACTAGAGCCACAGTGCTCCCTGTTCGTGGCCCCCTGGGTGAAGCCCCAGGCCGCAGCCAGGACAGAGAGCTCCCGGGTTTTCTGGGGCCACCGCTCCAACGCGGCCAAGCCCCCTCGGGCACCTTCAGGTTGGGATGTGTGGCCCAGACCAGAGGAGCTCATTCCTTGTTGCGGCTCGGACCCAGCCAAGTGTCCCCGAAGGCGCGCCCCTGGCGCCGCCTCTCGGCGCTTACCTGGGCTTCACGGGCCAGGTGCGGCTGGGGCGGT